AGTTTCATCTGCAAACAAATTATGTTACAAATTATGCTTGTTTTAGTTGGTGTACACACATTAATGTTGACTATTCACATTAATATGAACAGAAACCAACATTTGAAAATAGTCCAGATACTTTGTATTCATTTTGAACAGCACTGTAAATTCGCTATTGTTTTATAATTTGAAGCCTAAAAAAATAGTAGCTCAGCTGTTATAGATTTACACACATCTTCCGTTAAAAGGCATTACAAATGTATTCTCCCTTCCAGAAGTGCCCTTCTCTCTTCATCCTTTATTTCCGTATCTCTCACCTCCTCTCTGAGCTCATACTGCTCAATAAGCTTCTTCAGTTTGTCAGCCAGCTCCATGTTCTCCTGCCTTAGGTTTGCATTACGCTCGTTGTGCTGCTCCATCTGAACTTGGATGTCGTTCAGAGTCACCTGGAAATGTGAAGTCACTTCCTTCCTTTTTTCCTCCTCCAATCGGGCACATTGCACACCATCCTCCTGCCAAGCACAGCAAACATCAATCCATTTCTTTCATTATGGAATATATAAGGCAACAAGCCTCTGGTTATGTGAACAGTGGAGTTAGAGCAGATGAAACAATACTTTGAGCAGCAGGGAGAGAAAACTGCCAAGGCAGATCTCTGTTCCGATTACCTCTGAATTTAAATGTTGCATTAGGCAGGCACCACACACATGATGAATTATGCGAAACCCTCTGAGCGCAAATAACTGATATCATGTTATTTGCATTCATATCATGTTAGTGTACCTTAAGTGTGCGGTTGTGTCTCTGCAGTTCTCGACAGAGACTCTCCAGCTTGCTGCGTGCCAGGATGGCTTTGCTGTGCTCATTTCGTAATTGGTCCTTCTCCTGGATCAGCTGCGTCTGCTTCTTCTGCAGAACCCGCATCTGTTTCTGAGCATTACGGTTCTCCTCTAGCTAAAAGAAAAACAAAGCAGGACAGGTGCATTATTATCATTTGTTATATTACTATATTATTTTAATTATAAAAATTACTATTAAAGGGCATCAAAATGGCATGTACTGTTTGAATTTTGTGATAAAATGGAGAGAGAGAGAATTTGAGAGCTGAAACTTTGTTTCCTATCACAAGTAACGAAGCTCTTTGCAAATAATGGACTTGCTTTTATCAGCCGATTCAGATTACAGGCCAATATTTCAGTGCATCTCAGGGAATTATAGTGGTTTATAGCATGAAGATGTGAAACATCTTTAGAAATGCATCACTGAATTAATGTGGAAATGTGTGCTGAGAAAACCCACGCATTTCCTAGTACTGTATTCATGTAAACAAGCTCAAGCACAGTCAGCTGAAATGCTAAATCAGCTCATCAGGACACAACGGCAACTCTTTTCATCGTTTTATTTTTATCCCTCAGCTCCATTTATAATGTTAGTGAAGGTTTTTTACACCCAAAAAGGTAGCATTTATTTTTTCATCTTCTCTCTTTAGGAGTGATATTTTCTCTTTATACAACACATGACCTGAGATGTTGACATCTTTTGATATCATCATGTCTTACCAGCTCAGCATACTTCTTACAGAGGCCACCCAGCTTCTCCTCTGGAGTGCTCAATGTGTTGAGAGTCTGCATAAGAAGGGTGATCTCCTTGCCTAAAACACACAACAAAAAACAGATTTTAGTTTAAGAATAGGGCTGGTTATTGACACAGATTTCACTATTTGATTTGATTCTGAAATCATAAGCCCTCGATTAAATTTGATTTAGATCATGATCAGGAATATTTCAGGCAATTGTCAGAAGAAAAAAAAAAAACTAAATTACGCAAATTATATAGTACACGACTATAATATTAATGTTTAACTGACAAGAAAGCCCAAATACAATTGCTATTATTTTTAGATATTATAATCAACGCTCAAATAAAAAAACTGACAGTTTACATTTAATTTGCTAATTTAAACAGTTGCAGCAAAATTCGAGCAAAAATTGTCTCTTCTCAATAGCGTAGAAATGCAAGAAGCACCGCTCACACAGAAGTCACGTTAAAACCAGGCAGGTTTTCTTTTTGCTCAATGCGGAGAATGTATGCGGCCAACTTAAAAATGAGCAACCTTGCTTGGGGACATGTTTCACCCATACATGCGTGCCTGTTCAGCCCCACACACACAGGACTTCAAACCAACCACACCCACTGCAAAAACTCCCATCTTCTCCTTCTGTCCCCTCACTGAGGCAGAAGTATCAAAACTTCTCCTCTCCAGCCATCCTACAACATGCCCTCTAGATCCAATCCCCTCACACCTCCTCCAAGCAATCTCTCCTACACTTTTACCACCACTCACACATATCATCAACACATCTCTCCACACAGGCACCTTCCCCATTGCATTCAAGCAGGCTCGGGTAACCCCACTGCTCAAAAAACCTACGTTAAACACTTCACTTACAGATAGCTACAGACCTGTCTCTCTCCTTCCATTCATAGCGAAAACCCTCGAAAGAGTTGTTTTCAACCAGATATCATTGTTTCTTTCACAGAAAAATGGATAAAAGCGTCTGCAAAATGACTAAATGTAAATGTAAATGTACATGAAACTCCCGATCGCCTGGATTCCTATAGGAATGACTGGGTTTCATACACACAATTTTGCAGAGCAACAATGTGACTACATTTATTTGATCTAAAAGTACAGTAAAAACGGCAAAATTCTAAAATATCAGTAGAATTTAACTGTTGATTGAAAATAACTGTTGTCTATTTTAATATATTGTAAAATGTAACTTCTTCCTGTGATGTAAAGCGGAATTTTCAGCATCATTACTCCAGTCTTCAGTGTCACATGATCCTTCAGAAATCATTCTAATATGACGATTTGCTGCTCATTAAACATTTCTTATTGTCAATGTTGAAAACTGTTTTTGTGGAAAAAATTATATATTTATTTCAGGATTCTTTGATGAAAAGAAAATTCAAAGAACAGCAATTATTTGAAATGGAAATCTTTCATAACATTATCAGAGTGGGGGTTCAATCTTCAACTGGCTGGCAGGAGCCGCCACTGACAGGTCATGTGACCTGCCAGTGGCTGGCTGGCAGCTTCAGGCAGCCGCTGTAGATCTGCGAGTAGAACGCCTACCCTATCACTCTCCCTGCAAGGAAATACACTATTTTATTATGAATATATTTTACGTGACCTGTCAGTGGTTGGTGGCAGCTGCCAGCCAGTTGAAGATTGAACCCCTACTGCATTATTATTGTCTTGTCACTGTTTAACTGTGCCAGAAAATGTAAAGAGCATTAAGAGTGAGCCAAAGGTAGGCGTTGCTGCACATTCAGGCAAACACATTGACTCACCCAGGCCCTTCACTTTCTTCTTGTCCTGCAGCTTTTTCTGGTCCTTCTCAGGGCATCCATTGCCGTTCAGTTTGGCCTCCTCCTGCTTGCCGTCCTCCTTCTCAGACAGCCCGTTCACTTCCACACCATCAGGCTGGCCGTTGGTCACCACCGCATCCTCACCGCCAACAACACCATCCTCAAGACAATAGGTGCTGAGGATGTCCTCCAGCTGTCTGCTCAGTTCCTCAGCCATGTCACAGGAGGCAGAACTCGCTCCAGCCTCTGCCACTGAACACAAGAAACATGGAAGGTGAGTGAGAAGAAATACGGCAGTGAATAATTGGACACACTAGGACACACTTACAGCCTTCCTCTGCCTGAGAATTGTTGGTTGGTGTGCCATCCGGCTGTGTTATGGCTTCTTTAGGGCTGTTGGTCATCTCAGATGCAGCGGTGCTCTGTATCTCTGTATCATCTGCACTGCTATCAACTACTGGATCCTCCATCTCACTCCTCTGCATTGCTGATCTATGAACAAATACTAAAAGACACAACAACACACAGGTAAACGACTACAAGACATCATATTGCATCTATTAGCTTGAACAGTTTCGGTTTCAGTTCAGTTGCAAATTTACAACGAATCTGCTGTGTGAGAGACTGGCAAACAAACGAAGATGACTGGTTAACTCACTATATATACACAATATCATAACACGCTAATCACTAAACGCCGACTTCAGATCACACCTAGGACATTCAATCGATTGTCAATCATAAAATGCTTCGTGTAAGTTTCAGTCAATGACAACTGACAGACGTCCAAAACAAAGAACACGTGTTACTTTTAGCTGACGGTTTAAAACTGTAGATAAACATAGAAGTATAACTGAGAACTGTTGCTGTGCAACATCTCGCTCGACTAGTTTAGCAGTCATGGCTAACCAAACGCTCAGTTAAACATCTGCTGACTGACTTGACGCGCTCTACCGTTTTACAGTTTCACAAAACAAACACCTTCAATGCATCTGTGCTGTCAGCTAATACCGTTTAAATGAATACCAGTGTTTTAGTTTGGTCCAAGAAACCACTTCTGATGTTTGTCACCACTCTTTACCCTTCCCACTACTGCTTCCAACTGACACAGGAAATGCCAGGGAAACAATCGAAGATGATTGGTCGAACATTTGCAAACTTCCGGTGTACAAATTTTTTATTACTGTTATTGTATTGCAGTGCTTTATTATTTATTTGTCGTTGTTTTGTTTTTATATTAGCTTTGAATTAATATTCCTAACTAAAATATTTCTCGATAACGCCGATTTGGGCGAAAGTGATGGCAAAAAGAAGCTTTGAATCAATCGAACCAATTGATCCGTGCTCGAAACACCGCAAACTAGTTGAACCTGCTAGTCAAAAGCGGTAAAAAAAAATTATATATATATATATAAGAAACGAGAACAGCGGGCAAAGAACATGGTGCTAGCTCTTCTAGAAGACCTGAATGGAAAGAACTTCATAAATGACGAGTTGAAACACAAGCTCAATTTCTACTCAGGGAAAATGAAAATAAAAAGTTGAACTGTATGGTGGATGAGTTCCATGGACGCCAAGCCTGGTGTTAAAATTATGTTATATATGTTGATATGTATTTTTGATTGGTTCCGTTGTGGACGCAGATGCGGAAAACCACAGATGCTGACTGCCGACGAAGGGTCGGGGGTCTGGTGGAGGCGGGAAGGATTGTGTGTCCTGGCCACCCAGCAGCAGCAGCAAGACTCAATCCTGGGCTGGGCAAACCTCTCTGGGAGTCTCGGCCTCTAGATCTGGAGCGCAGTGGCACGCTGGGCTGCAAGCGGTTCGTGGAGTCTCTGCGCTGTTCTGATGGACAGGGCTGCCCTCCTCCGAGTCTGTGGCTTCTTATGGTGACCCCGTCTCTGGTT